ATCTTTGATATTAAAATAAAACATAAAAAAAGAACGATTTCTGTATATTATAATTATTTGTTTCCCATCGATTAAAGTACTCAAAATACGTATTATTTCGATACAAATATTTCCAATGAGTAATATAATATATGACTATGCATAAAATACATCAATTACGAAAAAAAACTATTTTTATCTCGTTTTTTTTCTTGTGTTAAGTATTATATTCAAACTAACAATAAAGAAATAAAATTAAGCGTTCAATAAATTAATGAATTGTTTAGTATTAAAAGTAAAGTATCAGTAGTTAATTAAACTTCCTCATTAAAAGAATTCATTTCTTCGATAAAGATAATTTGATATAAATAAAATATATTTGTCCACATTGATGGTGGTAATATCATTTTTCTTTTCTTTCCTTTGCTTAAAGGTATTTTCGATACGATGTACCTCTTAGTAATGAGACAGCAACTTCCAATGTCAATAATGATGATTTATGTAAACAGCAAAAGAGCCTTGTATGTTTTGAATATCATGTTATTTGTAGATAAATTATGTTAATAAGCGACTTTTGTTATTGCGTAGTATTTTTCAAAACGATTTTATGGGTAATGGTATGACTAATTAGGATAAATTACTTTAAATCATCCACTACTAGTAAACATGTCAAGGTTTATGATAAAAAGAAAATATTATTTAGAAACAGAAAATATATTTATAATGTTGATTGAGTTTCAAACTTGAATTAGACAATTATTCCAAAACAACATATCTTTACTTTTCATTATTCAAAGAAATATAACGTAAATTATGGACAATAAATGTAGAATTTAAGTATCACGATATGTTTGAATCTTGCTATAGATTTTATTAATGTCTTTATTTTATAAAAAAAAAAGAAAAGCATGTATAGCCGGTTCTTGTAGAAGTATTAATAAATTATTCAAAATATTTCCATTACATTTTTGATAGAAGTTTGATGGCAACTGTTTTAACTTCATAATAAGGTTCAAGACCATATTTTCCAAATTCTCGACCTTGACCAGATTGTTTGAAACCTCCAAATGGAGCTTGGGCCTTCATTGCAGCATAGGTATTAACCCAAACGGAGCCTGCTTGTAGTTCTTGAACAAATTTTAGAGCACGTGTTACTAAGAAAAACAAATTATATATCTGATATTAAAAAAGACGAGTACAGTATAAACTCTAGAAAGATTCTGAGAACACCGAAACTAATTCAAAATCATTCTCAAATATAATATAAACCTATAGACTCTTTTAGATTTTATGACAGACTTCTCATTTTTTTCTCTCGGAAGGATTCAGTCATATTAAATCAATTACAATCTTTCGTTAGAACACCAGCAACTAAACCAAAATTAGTTGCATTAGCTCGTTCAATCACTTCATCATACGAATCAAATTTGAATACAGACATCACCGGTCCAAATATCTATATAAATAGAAGATTAATTATTGAGAAAAATAAAATCCAAACCTCTTCACGAGCAATTTCCATGTCATCCTTGACATTACTAAACACTGTTGGTTTGATAAAATAACCTTTATCATTGGCTTTTTCACCACCACATTCCAATTTAGCACCAGCTTTTTTACCTGATTCAATATAATTTAGAATTCTTTTGAATTGACTCTTATTAATCTATTTCGAATAAATTTAATCGAGATTAAAAACAAAAAAAAAAGTTTTAATAAATTTACTTGTGGACCTTGTTGAGTAGCTGGATCAAATGGATCACCAACAATTCGTTTCTTCGCAAGTGCAACACTTTTTGCTATAAATTCATCATAGATTTTCGAATGTACAAATGTACGTGATGCAGCAATACAATTTTGTGCTGCATTATGAAAGATTGCTTCATGAGCAACATAGACAGCAAAATTAACTATAAATATCGATTTTAAATTAAATTAAATTGAGTATAATTATATATTTACCATCTGCATCTTCACAGATAATCAATGGAGATTTTCCACCTATGTTGCGAAAGGAAAAACACAAGTACATTTTATATTACAGTTAATTTATTAAACTTACCAAGTTCAAGTGTTACACGTTTTAAATTTGATTTAGCTGCACCTTCTTGAACTTTTTTACCAACCTATAGAATATGTATTAGAAATTTATTTTTAATTCATTGACTTACTTCAACAGAACCTGTAAATGATATTTTATTAATATGTTCATGAAGAACAATTGCATTGCCACAGTTAGGTCCATCACCTGCAACAAAATTAACATTAATGCATCATAAATAAGAATCGCTTTGTAACTAACCGGGTACAATATTAACAACACCTGGTGGAAATCCAGCCTTTAAAAAAAAGAACATCATATAATATTGATTTAGTACAAAAATAAAACTATCAACGGTACTTCTTTGATCAAAGCAGCGCAATACAGAGCAGTTAATGGTGTCTCTTCAGATGGTTTTAGAATAACCACGTTACCTATTTAATAGACATAGGATATAATAAAAAAAAGATAATAAAAAATAACAACAGCTACTTACCACAAGCTAATGCTGGTCCTAATTTAGTGGCTAACATTAAAATCTAGTTTCATAGAAAATAGTTATTGAGTATTAATTATATTAAAGAAAAATCTATACCGGATAATTCCTAGAATACAAAATAAACTAGATCTTATATTTGATAAATGAATATTTTATAGTATATTACCATGGAATTATTTGTCCACATATACCAATTGGTTCATGGCGTGTATACAGAAACATATCGGATGTTGTAGGAAGGGTCTCACCAGTAAATTTATCAGCCCATCCAGCGTCTAGAATTGTTTTATTGAAGGAAAAAGGAATTTCCAAATAAATACTTACAATAGTCAATACAAGCAGCTGCACCCATAATGTCCATCTTACTGTTCGTTACCGGTTTACCATTATTGAGTGTTTCTAATTGCTACAATGAAAAAGAGAATCTTGCTAATTCTCTATTTTTCAAATATAGAAAACTTACTGCTAAATATTCAATATCTCGTCGCAGTAAATCAGCAAATTTGCGCATTATTTTACCACGTGCAGATGGTTCTAATGTTCTCCATGGTGAATTGATATGAAATGCTTTTCGAGCAGCTTCTACTGCTTTATCAATATCATTCTGTATAGATTAAAGCGGAAATCGTATGGAAAAAAAACAATGTAGTTATAAAACAGACCTTAGTACCTTCTTCTACTTGACAAATCTCTTCACCTGTACTTGGATTGATTACAGGAAAAGTTTTACCATTCGTTGCTTTATGCCAATCATTATTGATGAAAATCTGCGTATATTTAATTTCAATTTTTGGAGGTTTCGAGGTAAATGATGCCATCTACAATAGATAACACTAGAATTTATTTAAGATTTTTTACATAACATTTATTTTCCTGACTCATCAGACTAGTACAAAAATTTTACAATGTATCATTTTCGATAACATATTTAATCTATAGTTCTCGAGAGACGGAATAATAAATAATATTTAAATATTGTATCTATTTCGTCTGAGACAAAATTTCATTTACGAAAATTAGAAGCGTTAAAAACATATATGATAAACTAAATTTCAATCTTACCTTGAGAAAGACTAGTCAATGATATGATAAAGTTATTCTTCTATAAGTTTATGTATATATAAAAACAACAACGTTATCTCTAGATAAGCAGTTTTTGGTTACCTTGAGATGTTTGAATTCTTTTACTTTTATATTATGAGTATCTATTAAATTATCTTCTGCACATAATATCTTTTGTTGTTATTTTGTGAAAAAGTACATCAAATTGATTATTCTCACTGCGAAGAATACAAACATTTTAATAATATAACGAAAATCTCATGTCATTTCTACAACTATTAAACGTTCATCTACTAAATTTCTTTATAAAAATATATTTTTATACTCTTTATTTCTTCTAACAATTGCAAACAGTAAAAGTTAAAGAGCGTAATAAAACTATATGTGAAAATGGTTATATTGACCTAAGTTTATATATATATCTATTATCTGTATTCATATATACTATTATAGATGTAATTGTAAATATAATTAAACATTGAAAAATAGTGTATCTTTTCGATACCATAATCATGATTCACTCAAATATATTGAAGTTATTATTTTATTTAGCTTAAATGATTTTCATGTTACATAAAATGTTAGTAGCAAGAATAAGGTATATGATAAATCGTGATGTAACAATAAATATATCGGGATTAAATAAGTGTTAAATGTTAAAACATGAAAATAATGATAAAGAAAAGAAGAGTAACATTGCTAAAACATAACCGAATACTGTTTGCATGTACACTAGTTGTTGTCCAATTTGTTGGTAACATCGATGATGATGGTATCATTGTAGTATTTAATATATTCATCGTTGCTGACGATGATGAAGGCAGCATTGAAGAGGTTGTTGAAGGTGATGATGACGAAGATCTCAATGTTGAAGATGATGACGGTATTGATGATGAGAATGATGATGATGATGCCATCGCTGTTGAAGATGACAGTGGTAATATTGAAGAGCTTGACCGATACATCGTTGTCGAAGATGATGAAGGCATTGGCGTTGAAGATGACGCAAGTATTGGTGTTGAAGTTGACGAAGGCATTGGCATTGGAGATGATGAAGGCATTGATGCTAAAGATGACGAAGGCATTCGTGTCGAAGATGATGAAGGCATCATTGACACGTTTGATGTGGACATTGGCGTTGGTGATGATGGAGGCATAATTGAAACGTTTGACGGTAGCATTGGTGTTGGTGATGATGGTGGTATCATTG